ACCTGGCCACCTGCATCCGTGGAGCTTGCGGGAGAGAAAGTGGGTGGGGCCAAGCCCAGGGCGCTGGGCATCCACAAGGCCCCGCCGACCTGGGCCAGGAGGGCCTGGGGCAGGACGGGCTGCGGCTCTTGGCCTCACCTCGGCTCTGATCCTCCGTCTCCAGGGCGCTCAGCTGTAGGAAGGACCCCAGGCTGGCCCAGCCCAGTGACAGGGACCAAGGCAGTGGCCAGGTGGTGGAGACGGGCTCAGAGCTGGTGGGGGCCTGGCAGGCAGGGCTGCCGGCGGGTCCTGCTTAGAGGGGAGGGGCGCAACCTGGGTGTTGCCGCAGCATCTGCCCTGCCTGTGTACCCTGTTTCCTGGGTGTAGAGGCTGCCTGCTGCTCCTGTTGGCAGCCTGGGAGGACCCTTGGGGGTCGGCGGGGGGAGGCGTGGCCCACGAGGAGACACTGAGCCTCTCACAGCTTTCTGGCCAACGCTCATCTAACGGTCCTTTCTGGCCCCCAAGGAGCCTACAGGTCCTTCCTGGCCCCTAAGGAGCCCAGGCCTGTGGGTTTGCACAGATGGACACGGTGTCCACCGGCACCGAGTCTGACTTGGAGGAAGTTGTGTTCCCTTCCTCGGGGTCACAGCCAGCAGGGCGCCACCCTGGGTGCTGTCCCTCACGAGCTGGTCCCACTCACCAGCAGGGTCCTGCCTGGGACTGCGTCTCCCCGCCCATCTTCTCACCCACACAGCCTCGCGCCTGGGTGGGGCACGGCCAGAACAATGAACCGAGTTCTCGAGGAGGGGGGCCCTGGGGTCCACTCGGGTTCACATCTTCTCAGTTTCCTTACTGGTGCTGTGGGGCTGGTTGTTCAGGGTGCCACTGGCACCCCAGTTCCCTTAACTAAGATGACGTCAGGTTCCAGAACAGCCAGCAGGTGGCGCCATCAGCCCAGCTGCTCTACCAGGTTGTCGGGTACAATTTTAGGGGATTAGGGAGTGAGTTTCACTCCAAGTATGAACTTGCATCAGAACCAAAGGCAGAGCAGCGGAGTGAGCACTCGCTGGGCCTCAGTGTAAAGGTGGGGGCACGGCAAAGGGGAGTGATGTGACCAATGGTGGGTTTCAAAGCAAAGCCAAGGTGGGAGGGGCCGACCGGAAGTCCTAGCTCTGTCAATAAATCAGCTCTCACGTCCCCTGGTGACCACAACCTGGTGACCACAACCCGGAGCCCTGTAACTGAAGTTTTGTCAGGTCCCAGGATTCTGAGATGGACTGGAGGGTAAGGACGAGGACTCTTGCCAGAGGAGGGGGCACAGGTCCTTGTCGCCCCAGACCCCTGGCCTGTGCCCACATGACTTCTGACAGACGGGCTCCTC